TTTAACAATTCGCTCGATCTCCTACAAAACCTTCTATCCTCTTCTCTTTCTATAGCTCCTGAAAAGTGTAAGGCCATGATTTTCACCACAATATGCTATCTTCTTTTTTCTGAAATCACTATAAACGATTTCCTAATCCCAATAGTCCAAAGTATAAAATATTTAAGACTAACACTAGATTCCAAACTCCGTTGGGCCTCCCATCTCCTACATCTCACCAAATTTACCTCTCTTTGGGCCAATTTCCTTAGAGCAATCTCCAATACGTGGTGGGAATCACATCCCTCCGCGCTCCTTATTATATACAAAGCGGTCATTAGGTCCAAACTTGATTACGGTGGCTTTCTATCAGGTTCCGCTTCTTATTCACATTGGAAAAAAATCAATAATCTCCAAAACTCCTGCCTAAAATCAATTATCGGTACCATTAAATCCACCCCTAATGCGGCCGTAGAGATTGAAACAGTATGTACCCCCTTTTAATATCAGAATCAGATGGTTGGCTGTAGTGGCGTATTTTGAGATTTTTTTTGGGGGGTGTCCTGACTCCTGGCAATACTTTATCTCAACAAATATTAACATAGTTTCATCACGAATTCATACCTGATTATAATACATCTTAATACCTTACATAAATGGTAATTTTTTAGTAAAAAAATCTTAGGATATCTACTTAAATTTTTAATTATTCAGCAAAAAATAAAATCGTTTTAGGTACTTCGAGTGTATTGTACACTGTACACTTATATACTTTATATCGTTGGCCTTTACTATAGTAATTAGTTGACAATAACTTGTATTTGAAGAAAGATAATAAGGTGATAACCAATAATACGGCTCACCTGACATCACGAAACGATAATACAATTCTAAGAATTACGTAGTTCACGGTTTACTGCGAAAGTTCAAATAATATTTTGCAAATAAATAGTACCTATTTTCTGGTATAAGATGAAATATACATTATTCAATTTTCAAAGCAGTTTTAAAATATTTCATCATTCGTCAACAATATTTTGCAATACTTCAGTAATAAATAGAACTACAAAAAAATTGGGGGGATTTTAACCCCCAGGACACCACCCCTAAATACGCCACTGGTTGGCTGGTAAATTTCTTCTTAAAAATCTTTCCCTTCGCTATCCTATTATATTTAACTCTTTCCTCGACATCTACTACTCTTGGCGTTATGTTAAAAAATCACTTCCAATTCTTGCATCCACGGCATATTCCTTAACCTCAACTCGCGACTTTATTATAAATTCCAAAAAAAACCCTTTTACGAAACTAATTATTTGTCACTGTCTTACACCCCTAAAGTTCTCACTAACAAACATTTTTTTAACGTTTCCTCCAAGTCACTTAAATCTATATCACCTATCATCGTCAACAACCTTTTCTTAGAATACAACCAAAATCATTTCCCCAATTACACCTTAATTTATACTGATGGTTCCGTTTCCCCTCTTTCGTCCGGTTACGCTTTTTACATTCCCGATTTACATATCTCCAAATCCAATAATCTACCCCCTTTTGCTTCATCTTTCACTACTGAAATTAAAAAATGCTTCGCAATTTTAGAAGCCCTCTCAACCATTTCTACCCTCCCTCCCAGTAGCTTCCTCTTCGTTTCCGACTCCTTATCAAGCCTTCTCAGCCTCTCCTCCGATTTTTTCAATTCCCGCCCTTCTCCTATTTCCATCAGGATCAGGCAACTCCTATACGAAATTTCTCTTTCAGATGTTATAGTTGAATTTTTTTGGGTGCCTGGCCATTCTGGTATAAAAAGTAATGAAATAGCGGACTCCATTGCAAAATCTACTTCCTCGTTCTGCTGTCCTTCTCCAACTTTAATTTTCTGGACCGATTTTTGCCCCTTACTAAAATCTCATATTTCTAATTTACGGCACAACCAATGGAACAATCTAGCACCCAATTATGCCCCTTGGTACAAAATTATCTCACCGTCTATACCTTCTCATTCTTGGTTTCACAACCTCAAATTAAATCGTAACATATACTTATTTTTCACGCTTAAGATTTGGACACACTCTACTACCTTCACACTCTTATAAACTTTCTCTCAATGACTCCCCTTTATGCATACTACACGCTCATGATCCCATGATTTGCTATATCTCACACATACTTTTTCATTGTCCCTCACTGGTTTCCCAACGCAATAGCCTCTTCGCCATAATCCACTCTTTCAATGTCCCTCTCGACACTCAATCCATCCTCTCTTCACCAATTATACCAATTATTACCTCACTTATATTCTTCATCAACCAGGCCGGCTTAAAAATTTAATTTATTTGTAATATATCTTCTGTCGTTAATGTTATATACCTTTATGTAATATTTTTGTAAACATAATTATCGAAACTAATTGTTAACAAAGTTTCCTTTTAATAAAAAAAAAAACTAAAATAAGAATATTTACAATATTTGTAAACAAGTGAATTTGATTATATAATATTTTACATTTAACATTTTTAATTACAAAAAATGTTTATAAATTTTAATTATATGATTTAGTACAATAATACTACTAATTATCTAGTGCTATATTATATTTTGTAGACACTAATATATTTTTAGATTATAGAGGTTATAATAACAGTATGTATGAGATAATATTTCATACAGGCTCATTAAGAATTATTTTTCAAATGTGAATAATATTCATTTTCAAATGCATACAAGAAATAGTGCAACTAATGAAAAGTACTTTGATACATGTTGATATTGTTTTATCTGATTTATTTTAATAATTACTTTAAGAGTGATTTTGTTAGTAGTATTAATTTTTTAAAAATTTTATTTTTATGATTAATAAATGAAAAATATCTATAAATATCAAAATTAAAATCATAAAAAATCATGGTAACATTAAACTGAATACTTTCCATCAAGGCACTAAATGCATATTTTTATTAATAAATTATTATTACATTGCACATTTTTAATATTTTATTTGACTAAAACAATTAACGTTTATAACCAGTAATTATTTAGGCACTGGTCCAATGTGCGACCTACAACTAATAATTGACCTATCCTTATCTTTACCGGGCTAATGTGCAACCTATGGCCAATGTGTGTATTATCCTATATGACATGGGAAAATATATTTATTTTTGTGTAGAGAATAGAGATACAAACGTGATAATTGTAAACCGTTTAGCATTCAGTTACGGTTTCACTGTCTTTGTCGAATTACGCTATTGTGAGTTTTAGTAAGTTTAAATACGGCGTTATTGTGATTTTAGTAAATTTGTAGTTTTTATTACGAGTGCTACATTAGGATACCCATATCGACATATTATATACGATGAAAAAATGCGTGTACAATTCTTACAAGACCGAGAATTATTACCAACACTAAATGAAAATAATAATCGTTGTACCAAAGTGAGAAACAACGAAGAGTGTGGTGGAATATTAAAAGAATGTAAGAGAACGAGTAAAAAACAAAATTCAGATGGTACCTTTAAAAAATACATTTCTTTTGAGTGCTCAACAAGAGGTAGTCTAACTTATTGTTCAATTCGAAAACAAAATCAATTTTTTTCTTACTTAGATTTAAATAATAGATGTCACAGTAATTTATCATTAACCGAGATTATGGAATTACTATGGCATTGGACACATTTTTTACCAGTTCATCAAATTGTACAATTTACTGGCCGAAGTAAGAATACTGTGTCGATTGGTTTAATTTATGTCGCGATGTGGCTATTTATAAATTTGACAAGCGATCAAAATTAAGTGGAAAAAATGTGGTAGTTCAAATCGATGAATCATTATTCAAAGGAAAACGCAAATATAACCGTGGTCGTCTTCGATGTTGTGATATTAGACCAAGGGAGGTAACTGAAAATGATAGTAACGAAAATGATGTTACAGAAGATAATAATAGTATTAATACAGTATGTACAAAAAATTATAGAACGCGTGTATCTGGCCTGTGGGTTTTTGGACTTTGTTGCAAAAAAAAATGATATTTTGGAACGTCGTTTAGTAATCGCAGAAAAACGTGATAAAACAACATTACTTCTTATAATTAAAAATAAAGTAGAACTAGGAAGTATAAACCATAGTCATGAATGGAGAGCTTATTCGTCAAACAATGAAGGGTACATACACAGTAATGTGAATCATTAAAAATGGTTTATTGATCCCGATACAAATGCCAATACTCAAACCATAGAATCAGGGGCGCCGAAATATAAAAATATATGTAGGGCAAATCATAATTGACAACCCACCCACCCACCTACCTTACCTAAATACCTATTTAAGTTAATTATCTTAATTTCATTCAATAAGGCAGTTATAATATAGATATATCCTTAATAAGTTCATAAAACTGTGTTATGCGTATAACAAGCAAAAATCCATAATTATGGTACCCATTTAAGAATCATACAAATAAACTATTACTAATAAGAAATATATAGTACTTACATGAAATCTACAGAGGTATAAAGGTATTTATAAAAAATTTGTGTATTTTTATGTTCCTCAATTTACAGTTATGATTAGTACTATTTTAGACAAACATAGATATTATGTTAAAATTCAATATAAAATATGAATATAATTGTAGATCATTAGTAATAATGGTAATTAAATACAAATATATAAACTCTAATTCATTGCTTACATTTTTAAAATTTATTACTTTAAATAATAATAACATATTGTCATAACAGATCAATTTTTAATTTTTATTTAGTGTATAACGTATAATAATTATTATTCTTTACATAGGTACCTAATATATTTCTTATATATTTTTCTTACAGTTAACATCTATCAGGCATCAGCTACTACCCACTCGGCACCCACCCACCCATTTCAATATGTAGGTTAGGCAGAGGTCTCGGTGCCCCTCGATAGAATGTTTGTGGAAAATAGTGAAAAAGCGACATGAAATAATAGTAAACGACGCATCTCCATTATTACCCAGACAAATTAAAGAGGAGTGGTGGAAATCACCCAAACAAGCAAACTATATTTGACAAATTTTTATCAGACATGAAAGATGCTTTTATGACATAAATTATACATAAATTACGATGAATTCTTATCAGACAAGGATAATTAATTATAAATGAATTAATAACTATAAAAAATGCAGTATGGGTCAACACCTATATGTAGGTCACACACTGGATCGAAAATGTATGTGTAGGTTACACATTGGATCGGTGCCATTATTTATAACTAACATTTAGTTATTAACCCAACCACACAATACAGATTTTATTCCATCTTCAAAATTGGTATGTATTCCAATGTTTAATTGATTAATACGTGAAACATCTAATATAGTATTGAATGGACGCTTCACTCCACTTTGACTTGTTACAGGAATTACACGCTCCATACTCAGACCAAAAATATGAGCCATTTTGGCCACCATATCATACTTTGTAAATATTTCTTTTCCACACCATTGATAAATACCACTGATATTATTATTCTATAAAAAATAATTGTTCTTTCATACACAAAACAATATACAAATAATATAATGTATAAATAATATAATTTACTTACATATACAATTTTTTTTTCTATTAATTTAAATACAATGTGTGCTATATCATTAACACTAGAAGGATTACGAAGTTCATAATTAGATACTTTAAACAATTCATTATTCTCATTTTGACACTTTTTTAATCCTATTAATAAACAAGTAACAGCACTTTCTTCTAAACTTTCAACAGGACCATAGAGTACTGGTATACGAAGAACTATATTTTCTGTAAGCAGTAATCATTAAACTTTAATATTTGATATATATTTAAAAAATATATAGAAAAATAAAAATTTTACTTGAATTAGCAGCTAAGACGGCTTTTTCACCTAAAAGCTTCAACCTTCCATACTCGTTTATAGGTGTTGGTTCATCAGTTTCTTTGTATGGACTATTGTCACCATTGAACACATAATCCGTGCTAATATATAATAATGGCACATTAAGTTTGTCTAATAAAAAAAAAAATTATTATTTTTTATTCCAAAGACAAATTATTCAATCATATATTAGAAATATTGATAAATGATAACCAATAATGGAAGATTATTAATAAATATAAATAAAAAATTTGTATAATTATTCTTAGCCTTTCTAGATTAAATATAATATATTATAGGTAGACCTTCAGAATTCTTCTTAGAGGTCATAAATTTTGGTATTAAATGATACTATGGTACTAAATACTATTCATTATAAAGAAAATGTAGACAATTACTTGCTATATCAGCTAAATGAGCAGTAACTCCAACATTTAGATCATAAGCTGCTTGAGGATAAGTTTCTACTTTATCTGGGAATCGTTCAGCAGCACAGTGAACAATCACATCAGGACAAACAGTGTGAAGTAAATTAGTGACAGATTCTTTATCAAGCAAATTGAGTTTTGTCAACCCAGGACTTGTTCTGTAAATCAATTAGATTTTTTGAGTAAAATCATTTTTAAATCGATATTTATGAATTTAACTGATGCAGCAGAAAGACCAACACAATATTGAATACTTTACAGTAACTAGTTTTTCTACTTGCCTTTTGAATGAAATCCCACACACAGTCCAGTCTGATTCACCCAGAAATCGTTCATAGATAGACCTGCCTAACAAACCTGAAGCACCAGTCAGAAAAAGTTTCATATTTATTTGATTATTGTTGAGATTTCAAAAATATTTTGATGTTGACAAATTAAAATAAAATATATTTAATATTAATACTAAACTTTCTATTTTGAATTGTTACGACAGTTGCTAGTGTTTGGTGTCGCTCTCTCGCGTTGGCGAATCTGACACTGTTAAGAGGTACTCGTGATATAATAAACTGGGTACACTGAGATAGATAAGAATATACTGGAGCGCGGACTCACCCATGTTCGTATGTTGCGAAAAACGAGCCGTCTCAACTGCCGCTACCCCCACCACCGTATGGCATGAATTTGAACTTCCATACAAATAACATTGAAAGACTACACATTTTAACCTAACATAACTTTGGGATAAATGGTAGTATTACGTTAATTTTGGTACCAACTTTTATGTGTTCATATGGATTTCAAATTTATATCTACCAAAAATAAAAAATGTTCATAGTATTATATATAAAATTTGGGTAATTAATACAAACATAATATTCATTAATACATAAATGTAAAAAAAAAAAGTTCATAAAAATAGGCGAGCTAATACCATTGATTATAGATAGTTACTATCTATAATCAATGCTAATACCTTCAAAACAAAGTGGCTTTGGTTTTAAATGTTGTGGACCAAAATGTAATAAACATACCACAGCAGTGAGTATATTTATATATTTATAATATAATATATATAATATATATTCATAATTTATATATTTATTATATTTAGATATTACATTTTTACATTTATTTAAGTACATTTTAAACAAAAATTATAGCAAAAGAAAAATTATATACTAATAATTTATAAGTATATTTTACCTAGTAATATGTAACATTATTTAAATAAATCAACTATGAACATATGAAAATCAACTTAAATACTTACCATTTAAACTATTCTGTTTACTTGCCTTTATCAAAATTAACATCCTGTATAGATCCTTGTTTTATTGCAAGCATTTTTTTTGGAAATTTATGTAAATGAATATTTTTCGGTTTTATGAGGTTTTTCTTTTTACAGCCCTCAAAAACGTAAACAAGCATTGTTGATAAATGTGTAAAAAAACAAGTTCAATATTAAATTTGAATTTAATAATTAAATCATAGAATACATTTAATTTCATATAATATTCTGTATATAAAATATTTTACAAAAAAATTTTGATAAAAACGAGATAATCGATTATATAGTATCATGTGATATATGTAATGTTAAAGATTGCATTAATTATGAATATTATTTGTAGATTGTATAATAATAGAAATCACCTTTGTAATAGATTAATCGCAATACGCAATTAATCTAATAATATGGATTGTACTGATAAGTTAATAAAATATTAGTGTATTAGGATAACCGATATATTACTCGGGGCTTCAATTTTTATATTGTTCTTGTTAAAGACGAAGGTAATCCGTATGTGGAGAACTGAAATCCAAACATTACTTGTGTAGAAATTATTAAAATATTATATTGTAATTCAAATCGTTGTTATGTTATTTTATTTAAATAATCTTATTCAACGGGCTCACTACAATTACCGCCAAAGTAGTTTAAAATCACGATAATATGTGAACCAATGAGAAGTGGCGAAAGGTCAGGTTCATAATCGCACAACAAAAAACTGATATATGTCTATTAACATCACGGTTTAAGATATATCCATTGATTATATATGAGTAATATATAATCAATCATATATCGTATATCGTAAATCTTAATCCGTGATTGACATCATACCCAATTTATAATATCATAGTGGGTAATTGTAGTACAGAATAGATTACTACAGAATAAAATGTGGAAGCAAGGTGGATCACTTTGAGTGGAAGTACCCAGTGATCGATTTGTGGGGGGACGCAAGGGGACGGAGTACCCCAACTAATTTTCAGAAATTTTAGTGTCCCCCTACTATTATTATGTTATAATTATAACGCTTAACAAGTTTTGGGAACGCTCTTTTTTTTAAAGTAAATAGAGTCCCCCTTCTTTAATTTTTCCAAGTCGAGCATTGGATGTACCGTAAGATTTAATCTATCCTGTGGTAGTTCGATGGAATGTAAAATGTGATAGCGATATCTCATCCAACAACCAACCAACAAATATATTGTTATCTTCGGTATCCGTGAAGTTGATATTTATTATCTCTAGATATACCGTAAAATGAATTACATAATTTATAAGTATACACTCCATGTTAAATACTTCGCGTTTAAACGTAGTTTTCTTTCGCATTGAATTGTTGAAAACTGAAAAGACAACGCGATCGTTCTTCACTGACTGACGACAACTGTTTCTGTTTTTTTTTTTTTTTGTAAACCATATTTATTTGTTTATTAGATTCTGAAAGCTTGTATTGTTTTGGAATTAAAAATTTGATGTGTGCAGATGTTCCGGATTCACTGTTAAACCCATGAAGCCTATTAGTGATGTCAGAGTTGTTAAAACATCAGAGTCAGCATTTATCAAGCCATTTTCCATCCTGTTTAAACGAGTAATATGTTATATTATTATTTATTTTCTAATACATTTTCTATTCATATTATATTTTTTTTCAGGGAGGACATGAAATTAAATGGGATCTAATTGATAGTCATAATGGGTAATTATGTCTTATGTTTAAAAATAAAAAACAGATTACCTACATCACATAGTTATGTTATTGAATAGTAAATACTATAATTAACCAATAACTCTTTTATTTTTATTTTCTTACAAATTAGTGAAATTAAATTGTTTAAATATTCATTACCAGTTAGTGGTATAATAAACTACGTATTTTTATTTTCTATTTTTTACCTAGTTGTACTTTTTGTTTTGTGTTTAGAGTATATGTGATAATTTATAACAGAACCAGAAATACATTGGTGTGTGTTAAACAATTTAGACCGGGTAATATTACATCAATTTTAAGTATATTTATATACTATATATTACTATATTTAGGTGTCTATTATAAAAGTATTCCTGAAAATGATAGACCTAAAGAAGGTCTCATTGACATTGACAAATATCCACCTAGCTTAGGACTGACTGTAGAATTTTGTGCCGGTATTGTGGACAAAAATAAAAGTCTAGAAGAGATAGCAGTTGATGAAATACGAGAAGAATGTGGTTATGAAGTTAAAGTATCTGACATTCAAAAAATTATCAGTTGTAGGTAAAGTAACTAATTTTTGCTATTTTTAATATAAACTATGTTTTTTTTTTTTTATTTACTCGTATATATATTAACAGCTATTTATTGATTATAAGAATTGTATTTAAATCATAGAATCACTGTTAGACAATATATTACATTTTAATGTTATTTTAAATGCCTAGACAATTTATAGAATTCTTAGGATTTCTATAGAACATACCACTGGATGTTAGGTAAAGTATGAACTTGAGAATAGTTTTAGAATAGGAATTGAAAGCGGTCTGGTTTTTCAATGCTTTAAACCCAAAAGGTAGACAACTTTTCAACTACTTAAAATGAGCCGATTTTAACTGGAAAAATTATGAATTCTTGGAATACTTTACTAGGTTATGCTGGAAATAAATATTTTTTTATATATTTCGTATAAGTAAATGAGGTTTCAACATTTTTCAAATATAACTTTTTAAGTAAAAATTTATTTCCAACATAACCTAATTAAAAGGCCCAACAAGATATATCTTTTTACAGAATTTAAATTGGCTCATTGTAAGTAATCAAAAAGTAGTCAACCTTTTGGATTTTATATTCAGTAACACAAAAATGTCTCCTGTGAGTATCACGTACATGTGCATACAAGTATGAGACACTTTTATTCTTGGAATCGTGTACGCTCTTGTCGATTTTAAGATAAAGAAAAGCGATGGTTGGTGGTCAAAATAATATGTTTTCTGATATTTTGTTAAATAAAATTATAAAATGAATTCAGTTGGAAGCAGTGTATTTCTTTTAAGGTTTAGACCTGAAATCCTGACATAACCATGCCTACTTAAAATGAATGAATTTAAATTTTGTAAAAATATTTGAGTTTATTGACATTCTTTATTGGTCATAGTAGGAGTCCATTTTTTATTGCATTTTTTAAATTAATCTTATATCCTATTTTGTTTTTTTAAATTGTTTTAGATTTACTAATGTGTTTTTTTTTTAAAATAAGTTATATGCATATTCAATAATCGACTTCCACTATAACAGAAAAATAATGATAAACTCAAATATTTTTACAGAATTAAAATCTAATTACTTTAAGTTTTATTTTTGTCAGGCTTTTAAGTCTAAATTTATAAAAATAAGTTACTCGTTGGATCAAAATTTTTTATTGCATCAAATTCAATTACATGTCCCATCCCAGGATACGTTTGAGAGAAAAATATTAAAGCATATGATTAAATTATAAAATAAACTTTATTTAAAAAAAATCCACATCCATACTTTGTATCAATTACAAGGTTAACATCACATCACATTTAATTGTAAGAGAAAGTTTTGTTACTTTATTATGTGGATACCAAATGGTACCTAAATTATTTTTTAAATTTTATATTTTGTAAGTAGATAAAATTGTATTTATTATAATATTGCCTATGCTATTGTAGGCATGTGTTGATAAAATAAAACGGAACAATATATTATTAAAAAGCAAAATATAATTACAATTGTCTTAGTTTTTCATTAATTATGTTTCTAGGATTAATTAACATTTTATTTTATTTTCTAATAGAGATGTTTTTTATTTGTTATATTTTATTTACCAATCTAGCTTAAACTATTAACTTATTACATTATTTTTTTATCTATATAAAAAAAAAAATTTGAATGTTATATTATTGTTTATTTACCTAAGAATGTATTATCGCTGAATCACTTGTATTATTATTTATGACAATAAGGTAGGTAATCTGAAATTATTTCATAATTGAGTGTTCAGAATCTATGTGTTATGCCGATTTTCCTCAATAACATTCATCATTTACTACACACACATAATATATGTACAGATTGCACACAGGCTTAATATACATTGTTTAAGAAAATGTTTTAAACAATGTAAAATATTGATATTTAATAAAATAATTAATATATTTTACATGTACATATTATTGATTAAACAATATTAATTTTATTTACTATTCAATTTTTAAAAATGTATTAAGTAGTGTACATTTTTTTAGGTCTTCGGTAGGTTCATCTGGTTCAGTCATGACATTTTTTTATACTGAAGTCACTGATCAAATGAAAATTTCTGAAGGAGGTGGTCTAGAACACGAAGGAGAAGACATTGAGGTTGTTGAATATACTATACCACAAATCAGAGACATAATTACACAATCAGAAGTTCTAAATGTGTCAGCTAGCTTTCTTTTTGGAATGATGTGGTTTTTGACTAACAAGATTGTTTTGTGTACTTAAATGGCAAGAAATTACAATGTTAATTCAAAATTTTATATAAATCTTAATATATGTTAAACACATAGGTACATGAATACTTATAAAATATTAGTTACATTTTCATTGAAATTTATGTTTATAAAATACAAATAATATAATATTTTTTTCAAATCCTGAGTACCAAGTTTTATTTTATTTACATTTCATGGTTTATCTTAGCAGATACCCATCCCAAACCCCATTTTAAATTTGTTAACATAAACTTAAGTGCTTTAGTCCAGCCCTCTTCTGAATTCAATTGTATTCTATAACAAAAAGTATAATAATGAATTATTGTGTTTATAATAATATTACAATATTAATGCTCAATTTTAATAGAAACTAAATCATTACCGAATGTTATAGGTATTTCCTGTAGCCGAATCTTCTATTTTGCCTTTTTCCATTCTATATGGTAAATGGAACCCGGAATTACCTTTTTCAACTTCTTCTTTAAATTGCTGGAGGCAGTCTAAAAATGCCACCATTGCTAAATCAAATTTTGTATTCCAAACAAATCGTATTCCTCCTTGACCATACAATGGTAGTGTCTTTTTTTCTCCTAAAACCTTAATAATTTCAATAAGTATTAATAGTATTATCAATTGGCCATCGATGCTTAACTATACACTAAAAATGATTTTATATTTTAATGTACATTACTTTATAATTCATGCATCAATTATAATAATAAATAATTAAGCAAATTATAATGGAAACGCAAATTGTTAAAATAATTCATTGTACTATTTTAATATACTATTTGAACATTTTGTTTAATAAAATTTGAATTTATTATTTAAATCTCACTTACTTCAACATAAGAATGATTTCCATATGGAACAAGGCGATATTTATCGAATTTTAAATTCATATATCGAGCTAATGATACTAACAGTAATGTAACTTGACCCCATGCAGCATTTATTTCAGCCCAGTCCACAGGAGCGGAAGGTAATCTACCTAATCGTAATTTGTTAATAGTACCAAAATGACCATGGTGCCATATATGAAATGTTGCATTAAAAACATTGGTTTTTCTGAGCTTGGTCAATTGTGAGGTGGTATAAGCTATTTGGCATTCAATACTATAAAAAAAAATTATATATATATTTACATTAAAAATAAACAAGTTAGGTATTTTTAACAAAATAATTTTATTATAATAAATTAAAATAAATTAATTAAAATAATTATCAATCTAATCATAATGACAAAAAATTACCTTTTTTGTTTATCTTCTATCAGAATGCAATCTCTACGATGTTTACTGTATTCTTTCCAATACCTTTCTTCTTCCTTAATTAGTCTCTCTTTTTCTTTTTCAGCTTCTCTAATATCACAATCTAATGCATTTTCAGTTTCTTGCAAGTTGGCTAGTTCACTCATTAATTTTTTTTCTTCTTTTGACAACTACAATTATTTATCTATTATCTATTATTTGTTATATCTTATGAAGTATAAATATAGTATATTGTCATAATTAATAAATAATTATCCTTATCTAAGTATATTAGGATTATTTTTGAAATTCAATTATACAACACCAGAAATTCAATTACAAAATATATTCTACTCACATCTTCAAATTCTTTGTTCAGTGCATCCATATCTTCTGGTTCTTCAGTAGAAAGTCTATGTCAATAAAAATATTAATACAAATAGCTTACATATTCTAATAAAAATGGTATATACTCTTTTAAGTAGTTGCTATAATCCATATAGTCTGCTTCGGCTTGCCGAAGCTCTTCTTCCATCATATCCATTAATAAGTCTGTACACTCATCACATAATGGATGATTAACTTTTGAATTTCCAGACACAATATCAAAAAGATTTGCTGCTACCTACACATAAATAAATAAGTCAACTATTGTAAACCAAACTGGGTTTTAACATATTAACTTTCATTTGATGACTGAGAGTTGGCGTTTCTCCTTCACCCAACAGTGTAAATCCATTATTGCCATTAGATGAATCATTTAAGTGGAAACCTGGTATCATATGATCAACATGTTGAGTCTGAGATTCTAGATCAACTTCCGGACATGTAATAATAGGTACTGCAACAAAAACAAAAATAATAGATCATAATAAAAAATACAGCTGTCAGAGTTCTTACATGACAGTTCGGCGATAGTGTGTTCACTAATACTGTTGAATGAGCTGTCCAGTCGAATGGGCGAGAAACAGCGTTGGCACGCAAAACTCACGTTCACGTTGGTGTTGGACATTTTCTTCACTATTTTCGATGATTTTTAACATATCACATATAACCAGTTGGTGGAATGAACGGATATAATGAAGAACGTTAAGTTGTCAAGAAAATTTTAAAGACAAACATTACCCTTGGAAAGTCAAACGAACATTGCGGCCAAAATCATAAAAGTTAATTATATGATATCTATATTCTGTATGAATAACAATAACAATAATATTGTTCGAGTGATAACGACGTAACCATACAAAACATAAAAATGATAAAATGACCTTGAACAATGGTCAACAACCCTTTTCCTTTCTTACTCGCACGTTTTGAGGTTATGTATATGTTTGTTTCTTTTTTTCTCATCTCAAAAATGTAAACAAACTAATGCCAGTAACAGAATACACGGTCGAAACTAGTGGTAAGCTAACCGATTCATTCGATCTGGCCCGTAGGTGGGTGTGCTACCGGGATCATTAATCGGCTTCGAGAGAAAACTCCCATTTCGAAAGCGCATAATGTAGGTGGTGGTGCCAGAGATCAGATTTTTGTGACCATGTAGTTGTATCGAAGTCAAAGGCTGTTGCCGAAAGGATACCATGTACCCTAGTCCATGGCTGTGGGCCCTGTTGTTGTTGCTAGTCGTGGTGGTCAACGGCACGTCGGCTCAAAAGTCGGACGCAGCCTCATGTCCAGAACGGTGTTCTTGCCCAAAAAAACGGGTTGGAGACAAATTCACTAAAGTTAAGTGTGGCGGTGTTGACAAACTCATGACTCTCAATGACATACAGTTTGCTCAAATTTCAAATTTCACTGCTGTAACGTTTCTGTAAGTTGTACTTTACAATCATCCATTTGATGGTATCTGATTGTAGTATTTTAAAACATGCATTTGCTTTCAGTGACTTGTCGACCAATGTTATTGCTGCTTTGCCCACAAATGCCATACCAATACCTACTTTACAAAGATTGTAATGCAATTAAATCGTTAATAATTGAAATTCCATGTACCTGTATAATATCTGTTTATGTTTCAGAGATTTGACTAAAAATCTAATATCAATTATACAAGATGGAGCATTTCTGGGTACACCAAATCTTAAATTCTTGTAAGTCTTATTTTAATTACTTTTTTTTATTCTGTACAACAAAACTTATTCTAATCCAATTGAATCATAGGACATTGACTGATAACAAACTCAAAAACATATCTCAAGGCATGTTTGATGGACTCTTTGCATTGGAACAATTGTAAGTAATTTTTATTAAAACATATTCATTTTAATACAATAATGCTTGTATAATTCATCATTATAAACAGTGCTTGTCTGACTCATGATTGGGCCTGGCAAAAGTGTACAATGGACCCCTAAACTACATAATATTGGAGCAAATTTAATATACCTACTAAAAATATTTTTTGTTGTTACCTACGCTTGAATTGCACTATAATTTTTAATTTATTTTTGTTTTAATATTTTTCCAAAGCCAATATTATTGAATTATTATTGTGTTCGTGTATATGAACGTTAACAGCACTTATCTCAATTTTTCAAAGTATTTATATTTGTTCGATTTTGATTAAGAGAACAAAAATGTATAAACTATAGCGGTTATATCTAGTTATTTTAAATCTATACTTAAATAAATTAAAGTTCTCTTATTGTAGATCCACTCCCGGTTGGGCCCCTATTTTAGAATAAATCTCAGGGTCCTTGGTGATGACCAGGTATCTGGGTGGGCCAGACCGACACTGATTGTAATGTTAATATATAACTAAAAACTTAAATAGCAAATAAATGTATTAATTTTTTTGTCTTCTATGCTTATTCTAAATATGAATTTTTGGACAGGAAAATAAATAAAAATATGATCACTCAAATACCAGGCAATACATTTACTTTTTTGGTACATCTAACCAGAATGTAAGATACCATCATGAATTTTATATTATTAAAATTCTTAGAGTAAACATATTTAAATTTTCTTTCAGAGATTTATCAGAAAATCCATTAGTTTGTGACTGTGAAATAGCTGGTTTTCTTGATTGGGCTAAGAAAGTAAAACTTGGACCCAAGTCTGAATGTCATGAACCAGCTAACCTTAAAGATATATGGATTAAGAATTTACGTTTAGATATGTTAAACTGTGTTCGTCCAAAATCAAATTCACCACCAGAAATTGAAATCATTCCCAACTCAAATCTTGTAATTAGAAAATAATTCTTTGCTTATAATATATGTACTTATTTTTTTAATAAAAATATATTAGTTTTAAATGAATGACATTTTTCTAAGGTTCTTTTCGAAGGAGATTCAATAGAATTATTGTGTCAAGCTGTTGGTACAGATGCTCTTGAAGGTGTCATTTTGACATGGAACATAAGTGCGTTACGTACAAATACTTCAATTATTATTACAGATGGAGATTTTAAAAATACAGGATTAATTCAAAGGTTAAGATAATTATTTTTTTAAGTATTAGATTGAATTTTGTTTTTATTATTATATAATTGTGTCTTTGATTAATTAAATAACTAACCAAATATAACAAAAATAATTGAAAATACATATGATATATTTACTATCAAAAATAATTTGTTTCATTTATATTTAATTTTTTGCAGTAATATATCAATAGCAAAACTCAATTCAAATCATACTGGTAAATATGAATGTAAACTAAACTCTTCTAGTGGAACTCGAATACAATCAATTTCGCTAACTATTATTTCGAATAAAACTAGTTTTTGTGGAGTTGAAGGTGTGTGGTATTACTTAATTTAATAACTCATTCATATTTTCTTTTTGATTTACCATAGTAGCATAATTTAATGGTGAGATTATTTTTATAATTTTAGAGAGCAAAGATAACAAAGGAACGTATGCTTGGACTCGTACAATCTCAGATGTAATTACTGTCAAACAGTGTCAAGCAAATGAAGAAGTTGAACCCTTGGCTAGAGGTACTGTCAGTAGACATTGTAATTCAAATGGCAAATGGGATGCACCAGATACTTCAGATTGTCCTTATACAAGTCCAATTACTCGTATTTTTTATACACAATCCAAGGTAAGAAAATTATTAATTGTTTTTCTATTTAGCAAACATTTCCTGTACTCTTGTCCAATTGTGTCATCTAGTTTCCTACCAGGACTCACTTTACTAAAAGAGAAGTTTTTTCATGTAATTTATATAATAGATCACATTTTTTCCTTATTACTATTGGTAAACTTTAATTTAAAGACCTCTGTATTGTATCATTAAAAAAATTGTTATTTTAACTATTTTAGACTAATATTACTCATAAAGATAGCACGGAAACAGCTAGACAGTTATTTAACTACACAAGAGATCATTTTAATGAAATCAAAGATATCCTTGATGTTAGTTATATTGCAGATATTGTGGTTGATTATTTGGATGTAATACGCGATGAAAAATCGGTATTTTATTTTAATTATTTTAAATATATTATCTTTATTCAAAGTTAACATTGTTACTTATTTATTAGCTAGCACCAATTGTAGTGGATTTAATAAGTTTAACAGCAGAATTGCCTAAAGATTTATTATTAGCCGCTCAGAAAAATGATAAATCAACTTCTAGGCTTGTGAATGCTTTAGAAACTTCTTTGGAATTTGCTTCTACCTTAAATTCTCGATGGGTAAATTCTATTAATTTAATTTATGATTTATGTATTTATAAATATACATGATTTTTTTTTTTTTTTTTTTTTGTTTGATATGAAACACCTTTTATTTTAGACTTCAGCTATAGCGATGGAAGAATTTGTTATCACTAAAGAAAACTTTAATGGTTTGACTTGTGTTTGGGGTCGGGATGAAGATGCTCCAACTACAATGAATTCTTTGATGTGCTATGTTTATGTTAATCATACTTTTCCTCAAAATAAAGTAAATCTATATTTACTACATATTTTTATTCTATTTTTTAATATAAGGATATAATTAATTTTTAATATAAATTTTAAAAACATTTATGCTCTGTAGGTTATATAATTAATAATTATTATTTTATTTAGATTGTTGAAGCATTAATTGAAATACCAGGATCATTATTTTCAAGTGATACCAAAACTGACGTATCTAATAACAAGTTAAAGTTAGTATTTACAGTCTACGAAGATGGAAAAATGTTTCCTGAACCAATGATGTTGGCTGAAGACAATATTACTTTAATACCAACGGAAATAAAATCTTGTGTATTGGTAACAAAATTAGTTGGTATTGAAATGGAAGTTACACCTGAACCTCTTATCATAGCATTGCGTCAACCTGAAAATTATGATCGTTATTTGACAATGAGACCAAGCCCATCATGGTGGAACCCTTTAACAGGATTGTGGGATGTAAATCCAAATATTAGTTGTCAATTAGCGCATATTGGCGGTGGCATGTTAGTGTATAGATGTAATAGATTTGGTTATTTTGCATTAACTATGAGCCCAATATTAATGAATAATATTGTACCTCCAACAAACAGGTAAATTCATAACTATTATTATCATTGCTTGAATCATGAAATTTAAAAATATGTGTACAACATTATATTTTTGAAAACTAATGTTTTGTCTTAGCACTGTGAAAAAAAAAAAATTATTCGCTCATACATCAATTTATATTGGGACTTTTGTTGGAAGTACATTTCTTTTATTCTCAGCCAGTCTTTATGTAATATTAAATAGTAATATACAAATGGCTAAAAAATTGAAACACTCGCTACCTAATACTTGGTTTGCAATGGCAATGTTTTACTTAATTTATTGGTTAGTTAAATGAATATTAACTATAAAAGTTTAAAATGCTTCTGGTTTATTTAATTATTTTTATTTTAGCAATGGAATTCATCGTACTGAAAATTCAAGAACTTGCCAAATAATTGGATTGTTAATTCAATTCTTCAGTTTAGCTCCATTATTTTGGATGACAGTAACCATCAAGTATGTTATATTAATTAATAATGCTGTAATGATATACAATGTAGAAATAAAAACAATTAATTAAACACTTTTAAAAATATATAAAAATATTTTATACCTTTTTTTTTTTTTTAATGTATTTTAAATATGTTTATAATATAATCACAATAAAAAATCTAATTTTCTACTCATCGTAACTATATCAACAGAATGCATATTTAAAAATTGAATTAAATAAAAAAATAATTTTTCCATAATTTATCCAAATATTTTAGTGATGATATAAACTATTATAATATATATGTTTAATTTATATAATTGATCTTGAATTATTTTTTTTTTCTTTTAGAGTTTTATATAAACGAGTACGAAAACCTTTTCTTTCTGCTGGTACTCCATCAGATGATGGTGGTGGTATGAATATACCACATGAGGATGTTGTTATCAAGAAACCGCTTCTAGGAATTTACATGGTGGGCTGGGGTATACCAATGTTGTTGTGTGGAATGTCAAGTGCTGTTAATTTGCCTGGTTATGGAGGACATGAAGGAGATTATTGTTTTTTAAAACCAGGCCCTGCTTTTGGTTTCATTATTGTAGTTGCCTTAGTAGTTATTAGTTGTATTTTTATACTAAGTTTGTTAGTTTCTTGTGCTGCCAATGATCTTGACTCCAATGTACAGCTTTCTGAAGGTACACAAGCGACTGATTTGGAATTATTGGATCAAACCAACAGCATGGTAGAACATAATAGTTGTCGCAGTCTTACTACACCATCTAGTAAAGTAGAAGATCCTGAACAGTCACTAGTTGTTCAACTAAGGTTTTTCAATGGAACCTTATTAGGATTTTTATTGACAGTTGCAATGACTTATTTTAATGTTGGAGTTATGCACAATGCAACTATACAACTTTGGTTAGGAGTGTGGTTTGCTTGTTTCAATATATTTCAAAATTTTTTAATAATGTGGTTTTATATATTTGTAAGAAACGATGTTCAAAATGCATTTATAGAACTCAAAGAGCATCGTTGGGGAAGAAAAAAGGTTGTAGATTCAGTACGTGCCCCATCTATAAGAACTGACAGTTTCCAGTCAGTGAGGCCTAAGTCAAATAGTGAAGTTGTATCATTGCAATCATTTAGGTCACCCCAGCTACAGCTTGTTATGATGAGACATCAATTAAATACTGAGCGACAGATTGACTATTACAACCCACATCAAATAACTGTAGCAAAACGGTTTTTCAAAAAGCAACGAAAGAAACAAAATAATTTCCCTCGGCGCCCACCACTGACTTCCCCAGAACTCACTGACATTTACTATTGTCAGAATGGTAAAACCAATAACTTACGTATGGAGTTAAAACAAAATGGTGTGTTCTCAGACAGTGCCATTACTGATCATGAGTATGTTGAAGTGGATGGTCATCTACAATATCAACACAAGTATACTCAACCAAGAGATTATTCAACTGAAGAGTTTGTCACTAGTCAAATGAGTGGTGCTAGCTGTGAAGGAATTTCAGATAGTGTCACTGATTGTGGACGGAATATTAGCGAAAAAGAAACATGCAACAGTCCCCATGTGATAGTATCTGATTGTTCTAGTGCAAATCCATTGAATCATACTTATGAAACAATAACGCCAAAAAAAGAAAGATGGACTGATCCAAATAAACGAAAAAAAGATTCTAGAAAATCTCATAAAGTATCTGGTTACACTTTAGCTAAATCTAATAAATCAGACAGCGATGAAAATGATGAAACTTGTGTTTAACAAATATTTGACTGAATAAGAGACATTTTATAGTCTCATGTATATACATCATGTAAGCTATATTTTATATTTATAAACTTAAATAGTTACTAAGCATCATTATGAGTTCCAAATAATGTTTCTATATAATAATAATGTATGTTAGATTTGCCATCTAACACTACTGCAAATATTGTCAACTCAATTTTAGTAGTTTTAGTTAAAATTAATGTCTGACCATAAACGTTGTAAGGTATTTTTTCATTCAATGCTTTTTTAATATTCATAATTTTAATTGCAAATTGAGTAATATATTGCAATTTTATAGAAATCTTAATAATCACTTCGATACTCTTCAAATAGCTTAAACTAAATTTATTTTCTGTAAATTTGATTATTATTTATCTATAATTATTTGTTAGGATTTAAGCTTGACACTTTGACACTGATATTTTATTCAAAGTATATTTTATAGTTGTTTTATTATTAGTTATTAATAAATTATTGTTGGAAGATATTAGTCTATGTTATGTTAATTTGAGTTATTATTATTTTTAATTCTTGTACCTAGTATTTACAGGTAATCCAGCTGTACTACTGCCATTTTTTTGTCGTTTTCTTAAGTTAATATGAAATGAAAAAATATTTTGTATAGTCAAAAATTAAAAATTATAATCACTTTTATTTTATAGTGTATATGTATTATATTTAAATTTTAAGTGTACAAATTATTTAATAAGTGTAATTATTAATTAGTTATAATTGCATTTACTCATGAAAAAAATGTACTAATTATTTATGATTAGAAATAGAAACTAAAATGTAAGATTAATTTTGTGTGTATACGATATAAATTTAGTTATTAATCTACTTTAATTGGTTATTATTATGATCCTATTAGTAAAATATTGTTAATAATTAATTTAATTAGTTAGGAACTGGTCAAGTTAGATTAAAATGAATATTTTTTTCTTACTTTATAAAATTAAAATATCATTTAATAATTATTATTTATTACATATTGACATGAATATTTTTTAATTTTAGTATATTTTGATTTAATTTTAGTTGAAGCTCAATTAAATTAAAAAACAGGTATTGACATTTAAAAAAAACTTGACTAGCAATCTATGTGTGTAAACTGTATACTTATCAACTCGATTGTGCTTAATATTAGTTTTAAATCAATATTTATAATGTTTTCCTACTTATTAATAATTTTTTTTTATCATGAAATTTTATTGTAAATATTTATTTATAACATGTACATACTTAAATTAAAATAGTATTCATTATTCTGCAAAATAATGAATATTTGTTTTATATTATTAAATGTATGATATAACAGCATTAATATACTATGTATCCTCGTTTCTTTTTTGCCCTCTTAAATTTTTAAGATTAATACATTGTAATATAAGAAAAACTAGAAATCTCAGTACCTGACCAGAGCATGATGCTAAAGATTATATCCTAAAAAGTTAAGTACAATTTTATTTTAAAAACAGTTTTGGTTAAAGAAATTATTAGGAGGAAATATTTCAGTTTCATTCATAATATAAACGGATTTAAAAAAATCTTTTACTTTTTTTGCATGCAACAATGTTTAAATTAAGTATTTATTAATTAATTATTATTTTAAACTCATAATTTTATAGTGTGTTACAGGCAAATAGAACGAACAATGGGCGTCCTCAGATAAAGTTTTAGAGAAATCCTAAATGCTTCATATTAATATTTATTAAATTGTAACTTAATATTATTCTTCCTGTGGGATATGCTCCGCATTGTCTTCTGGGGATTGAACATTCTTACTAGCGGAGTGCAAATATTCAACATATTAATTTTTTTTACAATTTCTTTGAAAAAATATATAACCCAAAATTATTAAATCGTTGTAATTTAATTGTATTTAAACAATATAAACATATAGATACAACCAAAATTCAAATATTACAGTTCAAGCATACAAATTACAATTATTGTAACCTATTACAGATATGTCATAATATACATTCATGACATTTGTCCGTACTTAAAAATATCCGCTCATTGATAGAGGTCGTTATAATAATATATATGTATACAATACAATAATTACCATATATAAAATACAATATTCGTGACTAGATGTCTCTTATTTATTAAAAATAATAACTAATAAATGTTTTATTTAATCAATAGACAATTGATATTATCTATAATATAAAAGTAATAAGAATTGAAATACAAAATATATTATCCATCATTCAAAATGTTTAGAAATATATCCCAATATTTATATTTCCAAATTTCTTTGTGATTATCAGTCTTGACGAACATTTCCATATCTAATACATTTATTTCGTCTCATTAATACTTCTATCCACTTAAATTAAAAACAAATAATACAAACATGTAATTTTTAAATTGAACAGAATTAAAAACAAAACTAATATATTTTACAAACAATGAGATATATATAAAAAAAAAAAATTAAGAAAAAACGATAATACAATATTATATCCGTTTACAGTAATAATTAATGTTATTTACAACCGAAATAATAGGTACGGATGGTAATAATAATAATAATTTATTATAATATATGTAAAGATCTATGTGAAACACATAATAATGAAATCACGGTAAATACTGATACGGCTTTCGTCCGAAACTCTCTGAAACAGCCCACGGCGATGAGAAGACGTGTAAATATAATTTAAATAGTATATTTATATGGTATACTATCAGGTACGTCATCAGCTGCACATCTATTGACAATCGGTCCGGTCTTGAGACGATGTTTCGACGGTCCGATTCAGAAGTCCTCGCAGGAATGGTGGTGAATCGTGCAACCAAGTTTCGGCGTGGACGATAATCACCACAACATAATATTACGAAATAACAGTAATAAAGTATCGCAGTGGTATTCTCTCGAATGCACCACCGATCGGCGAACTGCAATTATATTATTTTATAATGGCACCACGAGTGGGTGTTCATGACTTAGACGACGGGAGACGGTCCCGAATCACATGTTGAAGTTGACCAGATCGTTTTCGTCAAACGACTCCTGACTGGTGGGCGGCGTGTCCAGTTGCGGCAGCCCGAAGTCCACGTACTCCTGGTTGGCCGTCACCGATAATATTTGGCCGAGGCTCTCCACCAGCTCTTCGAATACCGGTCTCTCGTTCGGGTCATAGCTCCAGCAGTCACGCATTATCATGTATCTGAGAGAGGAAGAACGTACGTGATTAGGTAATAAGTAAACTCGCGTATTATATTAGTATTAGTGCACATAAAGCCGGGTGGCTACGATCCTCGGTCAAGGGCGTATTTAGAGTTACTTCTAGGGAGTGACGACTCAAATGTTTTCTTTAATTCAGGCTCAAAATTTACAAGTAAAATTGTTGGTAATATTTAAATCAAGCGAATCTTTAATATTTGTGGTTTTTTTTTAATCTAATGCCGGATCCACTTAGAATCGATTTTGTGTAGTTCTTTTTTAACAATGGTCTGTGTATTGAATGTTACGCTTGTACTTTATTTTATTTTTCACTAAGTATGGGTGATTTGATTTCGTTATAAAATTATTTGAAATGTGTGTCTCACACAAAATCAATTCTATAAATACGGATTCAGGGGGGGGGCGATCGCCTCTTCGTCCCCCCTAAAATACGCCCATGTCCTCGATACATTTTTTAGTTAAATATATATATATATATATATAAATAAATAAATGCGTAGACTGAATTATATATTATGTGTAATGTACGACCGGTTTCGAATTGAAAATTCATCATCAGGTATATACAAAGTTAATAAAATCGCAACTCTATAAATACATAAATAAATATATATTTTTTTTTTTTTTATTTTGGTAAACTAAGTCGCACTCTAGTTATTAATATAAACAGACTATTTGAAAAAAAAAGGAAAATTGTTATAGATGTAAGTTTATAATATTTTATAATATACAAACTATATAATAAACTTTATAATATATTTTATTTAAAAATCATGTATAGATCTGAATTGGAAACAAACGCATCATTCAAACGTAAAAAAATAGATAGGTACCCTATATATATATTTTTTGTAGTTTATTATTATACTATAATAAGTATATTGTCGAAGAAAGTATAATAAATAATAATATTAATTCAAATCTGTACAATAAGTAAATGTTATTGATTCTGAGTGTAGTGATGCAAATGTGTTTTTTCACTGTCGTTTGGTAAAAACGCGACAATATATCCATTTGCAATTAGTGTTGTTCCCAAGCAGTGTAATATTTTTATTTGTAATATATTTATAAAATAAATTCATTAAAATTTTTCACAGATTATAAAAATTAATTTAAATTTAACTTTTGAGTATTATTAATTAGTAACTATATTCAAAATCAAGTGTTTGTAAAATCTCCAAAAAAATTGTTGAGCACAACACTACCTATAACATTATCAACTTTTTTTTTAATACCTAAAAATAATCAGTATTTTTCATGAGCGGTATTAACCTGTTAAGAACCCTAATTTCTTTTTTTAAAAAATCGGAACCCTTAAAAAAATTAATTTAATAATCTAAATTGGATCCGAAAAACCTAATAGGTTTCAGTCCCTGACCACAATATACACCTAATAATATGATATACTGCATAGGCAGTTCAACGATTTTCAACTGATGGTTTAAGAATAGGTAATAAATTTGATATTTATTATTGTGTCTTCTTTCTATTTGTTTTTAATAAGTATACGATAATCATCAAATAATCATAATAATAAATAACAAACTGTCTACCAAATGCAAAAACCTATATATTCAAGATAACGCACTCGTCACTTATTTTTTGATGGTTTAGTGAATCATAAAATACCTCAAGTCGCTTTTGTTATTATATGGTATACAACAGTGCATTGGAAGTTTGAAATAGTGTGTGCACTAAACTTAACTTTACTTTAATCCGTGGTTTTACTATCCCTAACTAAAAATGTATACTTAATTGATTAACTTATGTACGCGTGTGACCATAATGTTTATAATGTTTTATATATTGTCAAAGTTATTATGACGTAGTTACAGGCGCGGATCCAGATTAATTATTAGAGAGGGAGCGCCATTTTATACTGTGGACAAAATATAATATATTCAATTAATAATTCAATAATTTTATCGATAATTCTATAATATTATAAGTATTACCGTTTACAATAAATAGGAATAAACATTCAACTTAAATTTTTTTAAAAAATAGGTACCTATATTGAAAAGAAAACTTTTTATTTAAGAACAATAAAAAAAATATTAAATATGAAATTAAATTAAAAATTATAGAGCGAAATTTAATTTTCTTTTGGTTTTTGAAACATGTCAATGCATAATGGCTATAAAAATAATATAATTTTTATCATTGCTTGACATATAATAATATAATTTTTTTTTCGTTTTGTTTCGTGACATTTGGGGGAGACCATCGCTCCCATGCCCCCCTTGTATCCGCGCTTGCGTAATTATTATAAGCAGTAATCCAAATACTGATTGTGCATATAAAATACGCAAATACTCTAGATGCGTAGTTATATTTTTCTGTTTAAAAATACCAGTGGCGTATTTAGAAACTTTTTTTTGGAGGGGGAAATCATACTTAATAGTGAAATAATTTTGTGATCGCATTAATCGTATTTTATATTACTTTATGTTGCGCATAGATTAGGGTGACCATATTAGGAATACAAAAAAACGAGACAGCTATTACTTCCCCCTCTTCCCCAAATAAAAAACCTCATCCATATACATTCACACATATACACACAAATCTCGAGAGTTAAAGTCCAAATCTCTGTCATATCATAAACAATTATTTTCTTTTTACTTTACTCTCTTTTAGTAATATAACCTAAATAATAAAATATTCTCTTTTAATTATTATTAAATTATTAAATCGGTAATTTTATAGTTCGTCGGCATCGGGACTTGAAGCTCGTTCCACGAAAACTTTTATCTGTTATTTCTAACTTAAGTTTCATATTTTAAGTATACGAGTAAAACTGTTTTATATTTTTTCATACATAGATATTTTATTTACAAGCATTAATAACTTATATAATAAATCATAAGGCAATAACGGGATAAAAAGCGTTCCATTCGAAGTTTATCGGAACAACGGGACGTGATGATAAAAAAAGGGGCAATCCCGTTTTAAACGGGACGTCTGGTCACCCTAGTATAGATGTCTAATGCATACTGGCAACTGACAAGATGGTTGTATCCGAATTGGGTTCCGAATTTAAAATTACTACACTAGTTGGGTCCCGGATTTTTATAGATACTACACTAGTTCCTGAATATTTTTTGGTAAGTATTACATTATACTAACATTTTTCTTCCCATTTTAACAGACTTAGGACTGTCTATGATATATTTAGACCACAGGTATGGTTAAAAATGTTTTATAGTTTTTTTTTTTGTTTTTTAGTTTCTTTTCCATTAATTTTTATTTTTATTATTTAATGATTTTAACATTTTTAATATTTTTTAATTTACTTATATTATATAATATAAGCTATAATTATATTATATAATATGTATTTTTATACTTGATTTTTAATATTTTTAATATATTTTCTAACACAATTTTAATCATTTATATTTTAATGGAAAAGAAATTAAAAAAAATAAATAAAAACTATGAAAAACATTTTTAACCATACCTGTGGTCTAAATATATCATAGACAGTCCTAAGTCTATTAAAATGGGAAGGAAATTGTTAGTATAATGTAGTACTTACCAAAAAATATTTATCAGTAGTACATATTAAATGATGAGCTGACAAAAGCTTTAATACTTTATAAATAATAATGCCATATTGGTGATATAGTTATTTATTGATCCCACCACCGTCCCACATTATATTCACATTACAATCGTGTTAGTGTGAATAAATGTTAAAAAATTGGTACCTGGAGTTTATTTTTAATTTTAGACTTGTAATACTAATCAGATTCTAAGCTTTATTGTAAATTCATAAATAGAAATAGTCACGTTTATTTCGTATAGGGAAAGGGAAAATATGGCAATGGTATTTGTTTTAAGTAACAATTTTTTCCTCTGAGAAGTGTGGCGTAATATTTCGGACTGCAAATTTCGACAATAATACATTTTCTTGCGAATTTTGATTTAACAATGATGCCAACGTTTTCTTTTATACTACCTGCCATTTTTAATTAAAGTATATATGTGTGTACTTGTATTTCGGTTAAAAAATGAAAATAGCATTTGTAAAAATAATATTTTTGGATTGCAACCTGTATATATGAGATTTTACTGCTGCATATTCACAACGTTCCATTAAAACCATATTACTAAAAACACGGTTACTTACATATCCAGAGAACAGCACGACGGTTTCTCCATGCGATGTCCGCTCTGCAGCAGATTGAATAATTGTTCTATATTAGGCACGGAAGGATAAGGCGTACCGCCCAAAGTCATAATTTCCCACAGCAGTACTCCGTAAGACCACCTATGAGGACAGAAGAAAAAAAATTTCTAAATTTACAAATCCCGATTATATATAAAATGAAATAGCAATTGTTACAAGTAAGTATAACAAAATATAATTCTGAAATGTATAAATGCTATAAGAATGAAAATTAAGGTACACATAGTGTTATATATTTGGTTTTCATTTGTTTTTAATATGTGCAATGTGTTGTAGTATTGTAATGATGTAGGTACGTACAATAATGTTGTACTAATCCGTCAATGAAATAAACGTACATATAATATTGAATTGTACGGTTCATCTTCAGGGAAATATTTTTACACCAAAGCTTTACCCAATTACATACGCATATGTGTATATATTATATTAACTCTAATTCGCTTATTTTTTTTACACATTTGGATAATGTGTTCATAATTAGATTAACATTACATTTAAGTTTATATATACATACACCCACGCATTATATATGCATATATATATATATATATATATAAATGTTAAATGTTTTTTTCTTGAAGATTTAATATATTTTTAAGATTATAGGAATAATAAATGTTTTACAAAAATGTGACAGTGAGATTTTTAGTAATTTCTATCTCCACGGAAATTAGTTTTTTTTATAGTATTTTGGCTAACCTAAAAATCAACTGGATCATTTGCCAACTTTTTCTTATTAAAATGTTTACTTACACGTCGGACTGAGTTGTGTAAACCCTGTGAAATAAGGCTTCTGGTGCCATCCATTTTACTGGAAGTCTTCCATCGGTCGTTTTCCTATAATATTCTTGATCTTGAATGTCTCTAGCCAAACCGAAATCAGCAATTTTCATAACAAAATCTTCGCTTACCAATACATTTCTTGCAGCTAAATCTCTATGAATACACTATAACAAACAAAAAAAAACATTATTACATCAATTAATAATAGGTAAAAACAATGAAATTGAAAATTATTGTTACAAATCTATATATTATAGAAAAGATACTTTTCTTCTTTTTTATGTAAACATCTATATGATTATTTTGGTACAATTATTTATCGAATTTAATTTAATTATTTAACTAAATTATTTAACTAAAATAAGATTATGGTTAAGATTCTGGCTTACCTTTCGGGATGCTAAATACTCCATTCCTCTGGAAACTTGATATGCAAACGATACGAGGTCCTTTTGCGTCAATGTGTCTTTCAAATTCGAACCAATCGCTGGTTCATACCCAGATGACGGTCTGTGCTGTCTCAAGAAATCTCGAAGATTACCATGTAATGCAAATTCTACCAGCACATACAACGGACCGTCTTGTGTACAACATCCCAATAGGTTTATGATATTCATATGTTTTCCAATCACTTTCATCATTTCCATTTCAGACACTAAATCCATCATTTCAGTATCACTGTGCCCATCTGTACATATGAAATATAAAATTAAGGATATCGTTTAAAATGTTGTTTTACGAAAAACTTGTTATTATTAACATTTTTATTTCTCAATAATATTAACCTTTTAACATTTTTACTGCTACGGTGGTCATTTCATTCTCAATTAAATAAGCTTCACCCCGCAAGACTTTCCCGAATGCACCTTCACCAAGTGTTTTTCCCAATGATAAATTATCTCTTGGAACTTCCCAAATGGGATCAAGTGGTAATTCGTATTCGAACGGACACCCTTGGTCCAATTTTGTGTATTTACATTTTTGTTTTTCGATTTTCACTAACGGCATTAACTGAAAAAAATGATCACAATAATTATTATAAAGTTTTTTTCCATCATTGAATCATATAGTGAAAGTTGAGTAGTAAAATATTATGTATGATAGATGTAATAATATTTAAGATGAAATTTAATAAAAAAAAATAAAATAATTATATTTACTCACCAATGCTTCATTTGCATCAGCCATTTGTTTTTCGATGATAATTTTTTTAGTCCACTGAGTGATCATTGCATTTCTAGCCGATTCTCTAGCGACTAATTCTTTTAGTTTTTCCCTCTTTCTCTGACTACACACTAACATTGCGACGCACACAGCAATTACTAGTACAAAACTAATACCCAGCGCAGCTAATTGATAAGTTTGTAATTGAAAGGCTTTAATTTTTACTGGATCTTCTAGTTCTGAAAAGATTATCATTACATTGACCAATCATAATATTTTTAATTTATTTTTTTTTTTTTTTTATCTAAATTACTAACCGTTGACCACTTTTAAATAAGCGCTTGCGTAGCTCATGCCTAGATTGTTAGCCGCCACGCATGTGTACCATCCTTCGTCTAAATATGTGACATTGAACAGCTGCAACACTTCTGGGATCCCGGAGTCAGTGTTGTTCTGCAATGGATAAAAGTACAAACAAGAATTAGAACCAACGAACGTACATTGCTATCGTGTATAGAATCCGCAAAAGTGGCCCAATAAAAAATAAAGCGAATAACAAATGCAAAAATTATGGTTAATGGTTAAGCGTATAAAATATATAGCGTGTTAAGTTAAAAAAAAAAAGCTCCGTTTCTTCCCAAGCATACCTCAACCTTCACCAAGGATGTTAAATTTAAGTTGTCAATATTCTCCTCTGGGATTTCCCCAATATACCATCCGATGTATGGATGCAAGTCGGACAACACTTTGCACGTCATAGCCCCAGAACTACCCAACACCAATGTGAGGTTTTGAGGTGGCTCCGTAAACACCGGACGATGGTGTAACCGCTCTAAAAGAAAAACAGGTAGACACATGAAACAACCGACACATGATGCGTTTCACTTTTCAAGCTTCCACCCCCAAAAATAATAGTGCACATTTTCATATAAAGCTCCAAAACCATCCGAACACCAACCAATCAACCAACCGACCAACCATATTGTATAGCATGCCACCGATTTCCAAAACGTTTGGCTTTCGGTACCTGTTTGAGAATGCCATTTTTTAAATTATTCTCGGTGACGTTCACAACACTGGCATTATGATAAAACCATTCCATGTATGGCTCAAGATCGGCGTACGGGTTGCATTCGAACGACACATTAGAGTACACCAAAGCGGTAATATTTTGTGGTTGACCGTCTTTTATGTAGGGCTTATGTGCATATCTTTCTATTTTTTTAGGGTCGTATTCATAAAGTTAGTTTCCAGGTTTTCGTGTACAGTAAATTTTATAATTTGTATAATGTCGTATAAAGTTCACAATTACTTACCGACCACATCGACTTTGTACGTAAATTCAATACATCCGTTCTTGTTGCACACTTTGCACGTGTAGTTGCCGGAATCCCCTTTGACCAGATCTTCAAACACTATGCCCCATTGCGAGTACCTGACTGTGCCCATAATGCGTTGGACCGGCGTCTGTCCGTCCTTGTACCAAGTTACGTTTGGAGTAGGATTACCTGCACAGAATAAGTGATATAATAAAAAATATTAACTAACGATTTATTGTTGTCGGTTGTAAGTGCGTCCGTGTATTAAACAATAAACAATATTAAACAACAATACTATAATGTTGAAACGAATATTCACTGAACATTTTCAACGGATAAACTTGAGACGTACCTTCGGCTGTGCACTTCAATCTCAACATATTTCCAGCAGGCTTAGCGACCACCCTGTGCATATTATCGATTTTTGTAAATTTTGGAGCCGTGGAGTCTTCCGCTGCATCATAATAACCAGTTTTCCCATGATGGTCAACAGTTTCTCCATCATCTCCTTTTTCCGATTCTTGATCATTGTCATCGGTATCTTTAAATTGATAAGATGAAACAATTATAAACTTCGTATACACTAATATGTAACAAGCTTTTTGTTAAATATAGAATGCATCATACTTTTCACCACGTCTAATTTAGCTCCAGCCATTATAGGAGTTTTGGTTCCATTGATGTAACACGCATACCACCCAATATCGTCGATTTTAATGTTTTCGAGTATCAACACACCATTAAACAATTTAACCTATAGACAGTTTAATTTTATGTATTTTTTTGTATGTTATGTTTATTAATATTTTATTTTATACTCATATTTAAAGTATTGACACCAACTTACATTGTTGTGATTCATCATTTTTTCGTAACGGACTAGTTCTTCGGTATATATGTCTTGTGGGCTCGTTTCGTTCAAGAAGTACCAATCGATCCTTCCGTGATGCAAGTCGGAAGGCTTGCAAGTAAACACAGCCGTGTCCCCTGATTTTAACGTTAGATTTTGAGGATATTCGACCAAAATCGGTAATTTGTTTTTGTCCGCTATAATTTAATTTTGCAAATTATTTTTGGTCTGTAATTGGTCGATTTTGTTATTTACCATAAATGTCCACGTGAAATTTATGTTGGATGGAACCGAAATCGTTTTTCACCACACATGTATAACTACCAGCATCTGATAGTTTTACTCGATTTAAAGTGTAATTTACGAGTATGCTCTCTTCGACGAGTAATACATTATTCTTAAACCAAGAAATCATTAACGGAGAAGTACCTGCAATCAAAGAGAATCCTTATACATTATTTTGTTTATTTTTACCGATTATCATTGTGATAGCGATACACTACAGGTATCAAAAATTTCTTGAATACATATTATGTAAATCGATGTTGAAAATGAATATACTTACTCTCGACCGGACAACTCAGGGTTCGAGTATCGTCTATTAATAGCACTATATTGTTATCCATGTATGGTTTATCGATGAATTTAGGTTTGGTACCATCCCTTCGGTGTGACAGAGACTGCGGTGCTGTTACTTTCAACGGTTTCCCCGATGCCTCCGAAATTTTATACGTAATCAGAGTAATATTACGCCATTTAGAAAAGAACCCGTTCTCAGTCGAACCACTGATCAAACACGCGTACCGTCCTTGATCGGAATGCTTTACGTTTTTAAAACGTAACCTATACAATATGATCATGTGTTAATATAGGAATTTTTAAAATTTAAAAAACTTTTTCGAATAATTATTATATACCATTGCGATTTCTTCAATGGTAATATGTTCGGAGAATCGATTGATGTTTCATCTTCTGATTCTTTTGTCCATTGTACCTTGGTGATTTTTTTGGCTTCTGAATAATCACATTTTATCTCCAAACGTTCGCCTTCTACAGCAGATATATTACCTACCTCATCTAAAATTAATAAAATTAATTATTAATATAATTACTTTTATTGATAAATTAGAAATATAGTCAAAACTCTTTAAATATGAGTACTATATATAAGTGCCTAAATGTTGTTATTTGTTTTATTAAAAATATTTTTTATTTTAGTAATAAGTGTATTATAATATATTACATTTTAGAATGTGGATGAGATAAAGGATAGAACATGATTGCGCACGTTTGTCCTTTTTGGCAATACGATTGCGTACGTTTGTAGAGGGGTAATAAAAAGGTGGGTATGAAAAATAAATAAACACGATTGCGTATGAAATTGTATGCAAAGTTGTCAAATTTACTAATTTCACCATATTATATCTAATATAAACTACATATATTAATAATAATACATATACTAATATATATATACTTAATATATACTAATACATATACGGTTCTATAATAGTTCATATAAAAATTTAATAATAAAATAATAAATTAAATGAGGATAGCAAAATAAAAGTAATAAATAAATAAATAAAATCGACAGTTTTTAATTGAATGAAATTATTGTTAATAAATCATTTGAAAATGCTTAAATTTGGATTCCTTGACATCTATAACCTACTACTTTTACTGAAATTCGGAAAATACCGTATAATATAACGGAAATAACGAAATTTCGTTATATGTGATATATTTGATATCATTAAGAATAAACATAGGTAATTAAAGGAATAAAACACAAAGTATTTATTAACTTTTTTAAGTTGTCTCGTACTAATGGCATCAATATCTATACGGCATCAACGTTTAAAATTTCATACGTAATCGTTAGTTAAAAATCAGGTAAAATCGCACGGAATCGTGAAGCTTAAAAAGATATCGCCTGTAACGAACGTACGCAATCGTGTTTTACCCGAGATAAATATTGATATTGGTATTTTAACAGATGATGTGGGTGAATCCTCTATGTGTCTGTTTCATATGTAAAGCCCCTCCAAGTTAATAACCGAAATTATTCCTATGAATATTTGTATCTATAGCATGTACATATAAAATTTAGAATATCAACAATAAAATTCACGCTTTGAAAATAATTTTATTTCGTTGTCTTTTAATCATGAGTTTGAGACATTAATTTTTAACATGAATATGAAAACATATTTATGAAATATGAAATGTTGGTATCACGTTAAATAAACCTCATTAGTAAAACAAATATTTTTCTGCAATTCAAGCAAATTAAATTTTTATTTTTATGATTTACTAAAATTTCATGCACCTTTTTTAGGCTGAACTTACGCCAGCGACTCGTTAAAACTAGAATAATTAACCTAACTGTCATAACATATTAAAAATAGTCAACTGGCTCATAAAATGTTTGCAATTTTTTCGTTGTGATATTTTTAACCAACACTCGGTTACACCTTTAACAAATTCTAGTCGGGTCCTCTTTAAAGATTATACGAAAACGTCATTTGAATGCAAGAACAGTTTTAACTCGTTAGAGGTCGACTTCGTTTGGTATACAACGACTTAATTTCTAAGAACATATTAATGTGATCAAGTATCGACCACGATAGCATGCAAAACAAAATTATTATTACGATGATAATAACCCTTTGGTCGGGCGTAATATTATGACGTTAGAGTTGAACACATTTTTTTTCAGTAAAACCCCAATGGCCGAACTTCCTGAACGTATTTATAAACTGCGACCCTTCAATTTCAAAATATAAGTTTCATAAAAAAAAAAAAAAAAAATCATAAAAGAATCAAATGGTCACGTAATTCCGTTCGTTCGATTCTGGACTCACTCCAAAGGTCATTGTGGACTACTAACCTTTAGTGTTCGAATATGTTTAATGGAATATGAACACGCCATAGTTTTGTTATTTTATGTTTTATTTTAAATACACCACACATACTACTATACCTAATAATTATACGTTTTATATGCGTATGTGTACGAATGTGTTTATTATGTACGATTTATATATTATGTACGTGCACTATTTTACGGTCAATTTCCAAATTCTGTAGCCATCTAACTTTTGTTTTGTCCCGGTTTGGGCCCATTGCAATTACACAGAGAATCCGTCGCAAGCGAATAACGCGAATTGGCGCCAGTTATAGATTGTAATAATTTTAACGGATATACATCACCGTCACTATTATATGTAGTTGTACGTCTGAGACGTTTTTCTGGCTGTGATATTATATGAATCATACACATGTTACACATGTATATGTGTGTGGATTTCCTCAGAATACTGTGACTAATACGATTTGAAAAAAATAAATATACTAAAATCTGCCTGCCCGTTTTGATTTATAAATTTACTTTAGTATTCAGAAAGTAATTTCACCACTACACCAGTAAGTATATAATATATGAATGGGAATATATTTTATTTTCCGTCAAACATTATGCAATATTTAATTGAAGTAAATGTCGCATAGACAAACATTTATTGAACGATGATTTTTTTGGTTACTTAATTTATTTACATTTTAAATTCTAAGTAAAATGAGGAATGTGTTGGTTTACCATGATGTGGTTTTTTTTTGTATGTCTGCATACACAAATTGAACCAGCAGGATTGCTCCAATCGTCACCAAATAAAAAGTAAAAGATAGAAAATTAGTTTTAGTTGGCACTTGAAAGGAGATTATTTTACGAGTTTTTCAAAATTCTTCTTAAAAATTACGAAAAAAAAAAAGCTGAACTATATAAAAAACAGCAACATTTACGTCATACCGGTTTTGGACAAAATTGCATTTTTGTTTTCATCGTAATTAATAAATAATCATAGACTCAAAATTTCCATTGAATATTTATAACATAATTTGCTAACTGTGAAATTAATATAAAAATAATAGGTAATATAATTTTTAAAATAATTTATACTCAAGGCTTAAAAATTGAGTACATGATTTTTCATAAGATTTTCTTAGTAGATTAAAAATTAATTACTAGAATATTTCAGTGAATTTTCATTAAACGATTATAGTTATTTAGTTAAAAAACATTTTATAGTTTCGAAATATTTTAATGAAATGCCAAATAAATAAATGCCATTTATAGGAACTTGATATGTTCAACTTTCCTAAGGTTTAGATGTCTTTTTTTTTTTTGCAAAAAATAGAACACTTTAATTTCAACATAATTTATTAAGATATTTAAATCATTATAACAATATTCATCCATTCTAGTATCTATCCCAGTAATGCCCAACCCGCAACCCGCGTGCCACATGTAACCCGCGAAAGTATTCAATGTAGCCCGTTACAATTTTTTTTTTAAATAAAACTAAATATTAAATAAAAAAGTAAAATTATTATAAAATAGGTTTTTTTTTTAAATTTTTTGATTTTATATTCGAACATTTCCCAGGAGAAAAATTACGATATAACCCATACACTTAAAAGAGCGTACTGATCAAATTAATGTGTACCTACAGTATGTACCTCAATCTATAATTTCTGTAGTAGTCAATAAAATATTTGAAAATCAATTCGATATATACCTACATGTATATTGTATACCTACTATGAGTAAAAAAATAACATTATTAGATTAATATTGATATTATTCGTACTTTTATATTTGGTAGCCCGCCCTTAGAAAATTGTTTACCAATGTGGCCCACCGAGGAAAAAAGGTTGGACATCACTAATCTACCCGATCGTGGAGTTTCATCCGACCAAGGAGTTTCTTCCTTTTTTATATTGTTTTAACAAATCAAATAATACTACGAGTACGTAACACTTTACCTTCAATTATAATAATTTTCGAATGAGCCGGCAAGCAAAATCCTTGGACTACGAAAAATATTACCACCAAAATGGCTGTCGGCAATGTTTTCAATGGGATCGAGCTATTGATCATTTTTCTGAAACAAAAATATAATAAAATATTATACTTTAAGAAGAACAGTCTTCACATGGGCCAGTAACGTAACGATATTATAAAGAGCTTAAATAAGAAAACGGTTATTTCAGGCCCAATAGATGTGCAAGACCACTCGAGTCGTGTGTGGCGCGTTCAAGTGGAGGGGAGGACCTCGATCAGATTGGTTTCTTCCGTCTGTTCCTTTTATCTCAATTTACATTCGGCCCTATACTCAATTATTGTCTCCTCCACACGAAACGGGACCAGTTGAGAATATCGAGACGTTGTATCTGCTCTCTCCGTTAATAAAACGACTATTAAACGATTAGGAGCGGTCTATACAGAGCACTTCAATGCATGTTTTACAGGATCGAAGATGTAAGTTTTGATAATTGAGTAAAAAAAAACAACTTGCTATACAATATAATAATAACGGTCTATACAGACGCTGTTTTTATCAAACTAAAGTATAAAAACAACTATGATGACGAATCTTACGAATCGTCTGTTTTATGTCGTATATTATAATATTTATTAATAATAGATACATATTATACATGCATTGTATTATATGAAAATTTCGTTTATAGTTTTAATCCCGTCAAATGTAATTAAGTATATTTTTATATCTCGTTTATCCTGTATTGATACATATTTTGTTAGTGACAACATTGAATTTTTACAGTGTTTACACATCTAATACAGCTTGTATTAAATTATGATATAATACAAATACCTATGTATTTTTATTGTAATATAATCTGCACGTTATTGGGCATGATTCGTATTTGCAATTTAAGGCTGTTAACGCTGCAAGGTTATAGATTTATACGGATTACAAACGATTGTGTTAACAAATAGAACGATGAGGGAATATTAAAAAACATCTCATGTTATTTTTTGAAACTGTATAATATAATGACCTAAAATCAATAAAAGTGAAAATACTTAATTACAACTCTAGGGAACTATATTATATATTTTTCGTGTACAACATTATATTATGTAAAAACCATTAAATTTCGAATAAAATTAATTAGACATATTTTCTACCATGTGCGTAGGAAGGTAGGTGAAATAATCCGTACGGCACAAATCGATAATAACTTGTATGGTAAACACCTATCTGAGTTTTTAATTTCACAGCAGTCGGTTTGTTCGTCGCTTTTTTTTGGTTTTATCTCAATCTATAATATATAAGTGTATAACATTGTGATACCATAGATGTATATAATATAATAAAGTCTTGGTGCCAGTTATGTATTTGAAAACAAATCTTAATTGCATATTCTTAGCGGTTACACCGAAATCTATCGAATTTTAATTAAGTTTTACTGTTAACGCAATATCATCACTCAATATTTGAATTTTTTTCATTTCAATACATTGGAATTTATTCGAATTATTTCCACCCACGACTCCCGAACTACGTGCACGATGTCTGTGAACGATATCTTATGTGCCGTTTGTTAATTATTACTATAATATACATGTAGGTACGTTTAGACCTGTCGATTTTATTACTGTAATGTGGCTCGTGCTACTCGAAAGTTAATTTTTCCGTTAATATATCCCAAATAGGTCACAAAACTCCACTACTTAATATAAACGTTAAAGTATATTATATATATATATATATATAACAAACTGCGGGTTTTATTATTCGATGTTCGATCGTAAAAAAACAATCTTGGTCCAACCGTTTTTTTTATATTTATTTTTTTTTAAGTGTATTTTTCTTTGGGAGGTCCTATTACAAGGCTATTATATAGCTACATGTTTTCCCCTTCGAACAAATAATATTAATAATAATAACAATAATAATAATAATAATAATAATAATAATAATAATAATAGTAATGATTACAACAACAGCGTAGTATAAAGTCGGACATTATATTATTATGTATACGGGCACCCGTGTACTTTACGACACACTAAATATCCTGAAATTTCTCAGCGTGATTCGGCAGAGCAAAATATATAATATTATGGAAACAAGGTAATTTTTTGTAATTGTACTTCCCACTCCCCTACACCGATCCCATTGTTAAACAGCAAAATAGTAATAATAATATTGTTCTAGCCGTTCTATTAGCTTCTAAATAGCTCAGTAGTCGTAGTAGAACCATAAATACAGTGAATATATAACAACGACGTGCAGTTGCGCGTTTATATCGTGTTACTATTTTTTATTATCATTATGTTTGATTTGTGATTCTCGTCACACTCCGCAACAGTAACACGCACACACACACACACACACGTGTTTTGTCGCGCCTCTCGGCCTACACTTTCCAAAGATATTGTCAACGTATTGTATACAGCACGGTTGCATACGAAACGATATGTGTAAGGCGGCGTGAAATTGATTTCGTGAACATTCCATATTCTACATAACACCGCGTGCGTATAGGTGCAGAGGTCGCGTAGAAACAAAGAAAATAAATGTTCAAACGACCGTCGTAAACACAGCAAAAACTCATTTGCACACGAAATACATTTAAAATACAACATTTTTATTATATTGCTAGAAATCATAGTTCGATTCGCGTTATTATACTATATCACTCGCTTTTCTGTTAAAACTATATATGCGTACAAAATAATAATACAATCATTACACTCATTCGTTCAACTGGTGCACGTCTGCGCGCAGTAATTACATCGTGACTATTACAACTAATGAATAGTTAATAACTGCATAGCTATTTATGTAAAATAAATAGAAACCAAATGAAAAATAACAATTATACACGAGCGTCGAGTGCATTTACTAATTTAACAATATTGTTTACACGATAATTTCGTAAATAATTTTCTTTTATTATCTTACACACCTACTATACTGCAGCGTCTAGGCAGTTATTATAAACAATTATAAATCCAACTCTAAATACTTACTGCATAATGCATACGAATAAACAAACACATTCAACTCCGAGGCGACGTGATTTTAAATAGTTTTTAAAAAACGGAAATAACGGTTTCTTTATCACTAATGCGGTTAATTGATTGACAATAATATTATCAAAAAAACAAACTTGAAATGCATATTATACATTTCAAGTTCGTTCGGCAATTAAGTTCAATTCGATAACAATAATAATGTGAACGACAATTACTATTATATAATATAATGTAAGTACTATGAAACATCCAAACAAAATACTATGTTAATTTGAGTACAGAAGATAAAAACATAATAATCGACAGTTTATACATGTATATGCACTATCTTAAATACATAACCATAATGGTTCGCGCTAGGAAGACGACAAAAATATTGTTTCCTCATTCCACTTGGGGGATCTAATAAATAATATGACATGTACGTAATCATTTTTGTCGTGTTTTGAAAACAAATCTCGTTTGGCCCGGATAAGAAAGAGGTTATCTCTTATATGGGGATGTTTATCGATTACAATACTGCACCACCTACGTGTGTGTTCCGCGTTGAATCGATTTTGTTCATCATGAATTCCAAACCCTCAGATAATAGTAACTATTTTATGTTTAGCAGCAATAATGGCTACTATGTATTTCGTGTACTTGCGCGCTTCGTCGTTCCGGTCTTCTCGTCGCGTACGAAAACGAGTTAATCTGTTCTCTCGGAGATGAAGATTGCGGGCGGGCGTTTCACGCAGAGACAACAGTATGGTACATTGTGCACACGTTACCATATTAGAAATGGCTCGGGAAACCCTTAAATAGAGATTTGGGGTGAAAATTCTCAATCTTAACATTTCATTTTTAGATAAATTTTGATAGAATAAATTAAAATTCAGTGTACAAGTTGTTTTTAAACGTATTTATATTAAGCTATAAATGACGAAGTTATACGTTCAAACACAGTCGTTAAACAAATCGAACGAAACGAGAAAAATGTTCCGGGATAAGTGGTTGATTTTATTTGATCGGTACCGGTAAGATGTTCAAACCACCTCTGGCTGCGGTGTGCCGGGGTGTTGTTTTAAACCAGTCGGCGCGACTTATTGTACCTTACGCGTTTGCATTGTGTTCCATAATATATTTACATTTACTCCACGGCGGCCGCGCCCATTACGGTCGGTTGTGCACGGGTACAGTCAACTGCGTTCCACCTCCGTAGAGTTACCACCACGCGGCCCTGCGCGCAGCATCAGAAATAATAATAATAATAACGATAATAATGATATGATGTACCTTCAACCCCATTACAAACACCTCTCAACCCGTTCTCATAAATCGTTCCCGAAAACCCGTCAATCAGATACGCCACGTCGTGTACACATGTGCTGCACAACACTGTGCGGCCGCGATTACGATCGTCGCCGCGCGCGGTCGTGCGACGATGTAATCGGGAGTGTGGCGGTGGTGCTGCTGCGGCGAGCGCGCGCGCTCGCGTCTGTTTCGTGTTATTATTTTTCCCATAACGACAGCGTGTAAAACATTATTATTAATATTATTATTACTATTATTGTGCTACCCCCTTGAGCGTGTACGGCTTGTACGTAACGCAATTACCTTGTCCGTGATGCGTATATGTCCCCTCGAATCCATCTAGATGCTTCGTCGTATTGTTAATAAACGCCTGTGCAACAGCAGACGTCTCGACCGACGCGCAGGGTCAAACTCGTTATTCGAGCGCCTCGACGAATATAATCGCATGGATTCTCCGGCAAAATGTACCTTTAACGCGTATTTAGATGCATGCGCGCACCTCGAGTCAACAACATGTTTTGTGTTTTTTTTACTTTTAGACTATACCGCGGCTCCAAATGTTCCCGATTTCCGCGTAACCCATAATAAACTGACAACATAAAAAAACCGCTTGCGCGAGTCGCACATGCGATGTACAACATGTACATTACAAAAATAATTAGAGTACGGATGTTGATGTCTTTTGTTATTTTTTTTAAAAATAATTCCATTCCATTTTTCCAATGCTATACGGGTGTATTGTAAAATATGTATTGAATAGGTTTATTTTGTTTGTATATTTTTTTTATAGGTCGTCAT